AACTATATAGCTTGGATGAGAGAAAGATGCAGCAGGCGTGGTGATGACACCCTGGATCATGATCGACGCCATCGCTGCGAAGAACGTGTGGAGTCCCTCCGTATCGCCACAAGGAGGACACTTGGAAACAGGAGTGACATGTCAGAGGATGAAAATTCACGCAACTACCGACTTGATTGGCACAGGCTCCAAGAGCCTACAACTTTGTGCAAGCATTGCAACATGGAACATTTTCATGTGGAAGGTTAAGCACCAATATGGACATGGTTGCACGTGCATTGGGGCGTGGAGAGCAATATCCACCTGATTCAGAATTTGAAGCTGATGAAACAGGCTCACAGGTTGAACGCCGATACCTGGAGGCCACTCAGTTTGAAGTTTCTGACCCAGATCTCTGGGCATTCCTTCACTATGGAGATGGCTCCGAAGACGATGAAACAAGGAAAAATTGATTCATGTGACTTTGCAGTGCGTTTGAAGTTTGGTTTTTCTCTGGCCAGCAGTGCCATAGATGAGCCTTGAAGGGTGAGGCTCAGGGTAACATGGATCTGAGTAATTTTAAACCCATGTCCAAAGTTCCTGTTGCCGGAGGGTAACGTGGATCTCCGTGGGAACATTTACCTTGAGAGGGTTGGAGTGTTTCATTGTGGAAAACATTTCTGTTTGCACCATTCCCTTTGTGACCACTTGCAGTGATGTCAAACCAATGGACTTCAGTTGGACCTCAGATGGACTGCGCAAGGATGACACTGCACAAATCGAGAAGAGACGTGTAGGTAGATTCAGTGGCGTTCACATGAATACCATGTGTATGTACCAGACCCTGTGGTTCAAAGAAAAGTGACGCTGCCTGCTTCGCATGGTAGCGGAGCACCTGGTGCTTCCTACCTGCAAGCATTGTCGTTCACTGTTGGGGCGTGGGACGCGGCCATAGCTCCATTTGCTTCCTGGATTTCTGGCCCTAGCAATTTCCTGGAATTTTTACTGTGAGGACAGTGGAATTTTCTGCAACTGGTAACCGAGATAGGTTTGGGACACACTGGATTGAAATTCGATACACTGGACATTGAACAGTCTGCATACTGTCTTGTCAATACCTCAGTTTTTGGCGTGGTACAATTCTGGAGGGTGACATTTCGAGGTGACTGGCTTGGTGGCAAATTTTTCCAGGTGTTTTCAGTTGGCGTGCAAGCTTGGTTTCTCTTGTTTGGAGATAAAGTTTGAGGTGAAGCGCAGTTGCAGTCATGGCGCAGGAGTTTAGTCCTAGCATATTTCAAGCAGCCTTGCTTGAAGTTGCAGAGGCCACCAAAGCTGCCACAGCTGCAGTACAGGCCATGCAGGTTGTACAACAGCAACAGCCTGCAATTCCACAAGGCCAGACAGTTCAAGCTTCTGGCAGTCCTTCAGGTTCACCAACAAGCTCAACAGACTGGTCGAAACTTGTGAATAAGCCGCCAGTGCTGGATGGGAAGAGCGTTGAAGATGAAATCAGAATGTTCAGGGACTGGTTATGGATGGTCACACAGTTTCTGAACACCATAGATGTTGGATATGAACCAGAAATTCAAGCAATAGTGGACAGCCCTTCAGCCCCCATGGACATGTCGACAGCTACCTCAGAGACGAGACAGCGTGGGGCCAAGCTCTACGGCCTTTTAGCCTCCCTATGCAGAAACAGGTCTCTCAGTATCATCCGTAGTGTCAAGCAGGGTGATGGCTTTGAGGGTCTTCGTCAGCTAATCCTGAATTTGAGACCTTCCACAAATACAAGAGGATTGGCACTCATGGGAGCTTTGCCAAGTTGGCCATCGTTCAACATGAATCAGCTGCTGCAACCTCAACTGTTGAAACTTGAGGAAGCCTTGGAAGAGGCCAGAAGAGCTGGTTCAAGCATACCAGACCAGTTGCAGCAGGCGATCCTTTTGAAGTGCGTTTCAGGCCAGCTTAGGACACACCTCAACTTGTCCATCCAAGAAGCTACCAGCTTCAAGGAGTTGAGAGAACAAGTGCTCAGGTGGGATCGTAGTCAACAGAAGTGGAGCAACCTCATCTTTGACGAGTCTTCAACTTCGACTCCCATGGAGGTGGATCGTGTCTACTCAGATGGGCGTAGCTGGAATAACAATCGCAAAAAGGGCGACAAGGGCAAAGGAAAGAACAGTTTTTCTCAGAAAGGCAATCAGAAAGGAAAAGTTAAGTGAAAAACAAAGACCAAAGATGGGAAGAGTGGACAGAAAGGGAAGCAGAAGAGCGACATGCAGGGCAAAAGCGGTGGGAAGCAGAATGTTTCAGGGAAAGGAAAGGGTAGCAAGCCAGATGTTACCTGCCATCGATGTGGCAAATACGGGCATTTTGCTCGTGATTGCTGGGGAACTTCAGTGCGACAGGTGCAGAATGAAGGCTCAAACAGTGTTCAGCAGTCTCCTCAAAGCCAACAGACCTCAGTTGCTGCTGGAACGCCTTCATCTCAGACAAGTTCTCAAATGCCTGTAGCCCCTCAGCAAGGACGTATTGCCAGAATTCAATTTGCAGATGACCATGTCTCAGATGTTTTAAAACATGATGAGTTGGTTTTTGACCTCAGAAGTCCATGCAGTGCTTCGAGTTGCTTGGAGGGAAACGTGGGGACGTTACAGTTTTTCATCGGTGACGAGCCCAATGCAGTTGAGTTTGATGTTGAAACTGTTGACACAGGTCTTGCAGTTAGAACCATGTTGGAAGATGTAGATGATGTGACTCAAATGCACAGCATTTTGCTGGATTCAGGTGCCGATGCCTCAGTGTTCCCAATCAGCATGGCAGAGCTAGGTAGTCCTTGCAACGATGTTGACACAGTCTTGCGTGATGCACAAGGCCAAGCAATTCCATTGCATGGTTACAGGGATGTTGAGCTGCATCTCATGGACATGAAAGGACGTGCCATCGTGCTCAGAGAGACAGTTGCGCTGAGTGACAGGATCTCCCAACCTATCCTGTGCTTTGGCCACTTGCTGGAGAATGGGTGGAGTGTAAATGGTGTTGAACAGACCCTGACTCATGGTTCTGGAATTTCAATCCCAATTGAGCTGCAAAACAAGTCAATGTTGGTGCGTGGATGGGTACGCATGATGAAAGATGAACCTCAAGTGTTGGAACCTTTCAGTATCAGGGCAGTGCGTGCTGAGCTCTTTGAGGAACTCTCATACATGCGTGTTGGTTGGAACCTTAGTCCCGAAGGGGTTGGTTCAGGAAAGCACTATGGCAATTGCTTTCAAGACCCTACACTTGCTTGCCCAACAATGTCTGGAAGGAAATTCAGAACTACGTTGATCAAGGATGGCGACCAATGGCTGGTCATGGAGTTGTGCGAGCCTCTGGAAACGTTGATTGATCTTGCAGCAGAGTTCCATGGGTATGAGGGTGACAGGTTCATCATCACGGTGATTACACCCAGTGAGAGACCACCTAATGTGATGGGCTTTCGAATGATGGATGATGATGAGATTCAGCCTGCGGTGCAACTTGAGTTTGAACAGGAGAGACACGATGAAGGTGAGATTGCACCTCTTGCACCAGAGGATGAAGTTGCAGGCATGGACATTGGTGGTGATGTTCAACATGATGCAGGTCAAGCAGTTGAAGGCCAGCTTGTTTATGCAGACAGGGGTGATCACTTGAATGTCAATGGAATTGAACTTTTTCCAACCAGTGCACTTGCAAACTTGCGTGAAGCGCGTGCCTTCTACAGCTTGTCACAGTCTGGAGGGAAGGAACGTTGTTTCAAGCGCTTGTGGGAGCACCAGAAGAAACTAGAGCTCCAGACAGCTCTTTCTGCAGCACGTGAGACAGAGGCTGAGCAGCAGAGGCGACCAAACCCTCAGAAGCTTGCTGAGCCACCTGATGAAAAGTCACAGCAACTTCACATGCTGACCCACTTACCTTTTCAAGAGTGGTGTGCTCATTGTGTTGCACATCGGTCACGCCCAGACCGGCACAAGCGTGATGGCCAAGTCAAAGAATCTGGTGTGCCTACAGTGTCATTTGACTTTGCATACACAAAGGCAGTAGCTCCAGGTGGCAATGCTCAAGATACAGATCAAGTGATTGCTCTGGTGTTGGTTGACTCAATGACCAACTACACAGGTTGTGTGCCCATTTCCAAGAAGAACGACTTTGATCTGATGGTGCGTGAGATCTTGCAGTTCACCCAGGTTTTGGGGCACAGTGAATGCACATACCTGTGTGACAATGAGCCTTCAATCTTGCAAGTACAGAAGAAAGCAGTTCAAGCAAGACAGATGATGGGACTGGTGACTCATAGCAAAACACCAGCAGCCTATGACCATGGAAACAGCTTGTGTGAGAACACTGTCAATCGTGTGCGTGGATTGGCAGGAACCTTGATGCACTCAGTTCAGGAGCGGCTTTCAATCAAGTTGAACACTGACCATGGACTATGGAGCTGGGCGCTGAGACACTCCAGCTGGCTGCTCAACCGGTTTGCAGTGGTTCATGGTGCTACTCCGTATGAGCTGGTGTATCACAAGGTTTACAAGGGCAAAATGACAGAGTTTGCAGAACCAGCATTTGCATACACTCACACAGTGCTGAAGGGGAACCCACGTTGGCAGAGGGTCATTGTCTTGGGCAAAACAGAAGCTCAAGATACCTATGTGGTTTTCACTGGACAGTCAGTGATGTTGACCCGCTCAGTCAGAAGGATTTCAACTGACTGGAAATGCCATTTGGGTTTCTACTTGCACTTCAATGCCCCTACGCGGCGATTCAAAGCTGGATTTGGAGGACGTGTGGTGCCCACCAAACGAGCGGTACCAGCCAAGTCTGCAAGTTTCAGTTTGCCTCAAGGACCTGTTTTGCCCTCACCTTTGCACGACAAGGATGCTGAAGATGTGAAACAGAAAAAGGTTGAAGAGCAGGCCGAAGAGCGTGAAGCTTTTTCCATGGGTCAACATGACCAACGAGGAGAGCCCAAGCAATATGATGTTGAACAGCTTGAAGGAATGCATGACGACTCAGTGACTATGCAGCATGGTACTGGAGTGGAGATGGATGCACCTTCTTTTGCGACCAGACCCAAACGTCCTGGCGAAGTGGAGGTGACCAGTGTTTTTGATGATGTTGTGGCTGATTCCTCTCTTCTTTCATCCATGGAAGCGCAAGTTGATTCTCCAAATGACCCTGGTCTTGCGGCACCAGTGACTCCACCTGTGATTGCACCTCAGCTGCCCCCAACTCCAAGGCAGCAGCATGCCACAAGAACTCATGGTGATGATGTTGAAGAAAGCCATGAAGCAAAACGAGGTTGGAGTCTTTGAAGAAACAGAAAATCAATCAACTGCGTGAGTCTCATGAAGAAATGATCAGAACAGTCAAGGTTGGTTCTGATGAGTATGCAACAATGGATGACTATAAGAATGAGGTTGACATGGATGATGGCCCTGACACAGAGTACTGGGAAGATGAGGATCAGCTCACCTTCAGCGGTTCCAGATGCGTTATGGTGTGCAGGAAGTTTGGAGAAGCAGCCACAAGCACCTGAAAGTTGGGTTGACCAGCTGGCGGACCAAGTCGAGATCAGTCGTTTGCTGAGCATGGGTGTTCTCCAAAGAAAGGAGGAGTGCTTGGATGAAGTCTCAGGATCCTTGACTACCAGGTTTGTCTATGACTGGAGGATCAAGGACCATCCCAATGGGACCAAGCAATGGATGAGGAGCCGGTTTGTGGCTCGTGAGTTTGCCACAGACAAGCGCCCTGACACCTACAGTCCAGCGAGTGGGTGCCATTCAGTGAACCTCATTCCAATTTGCTACCTGAAGATGCTTGCCGAAAGTTTGGACAGTGCAGAAAGGTTTGATGAGGACAGCAGCAGTCCCTATCGTGTTGTTCTGGCGGCATTGGACATCAAGGATGCCTTTCTTCAGGTTCCCCAAGAAAATTTGGTGATGGTTTCATTGTACAACCAGCAGTATGTCATCAGACGCAATCTTCCTGGTCAGAGACTTGGTGCAAAAGCTTGGTATTGGCACTTTCGCCGATACATCAGTGATGCTTTGAACTGTTGTTGGTGTTTGGAACAGCCTTGCCTTGCGAAGTGCGTGGATGATGGGACCAACAACTGCTTTCTGATCCATGTAGATGGTTTGCTGTTTGCTGGAAGCTACAGTTTTTGGACCACCAAATTCTTGCCAGCGGTGACTTCAAAGTTCAATGTGAACTATACAGAGTTGAAGGGAAATGGAAGCTTCATTTCTTTCCTGAAGCGAAAGCTGGTGAAGATCAAAGATGGTCTATTGCTTGTCCCAGGCACTACAGCGAACAAAGTGGTGTCTTACTTTGAAAAGTTTTTCGGAGTAGCAAAGCAGCAGAAAATTCCATGTGATGGATCAATTCAGAACGATGACAAGTCCCAAAGGTTGAGTGATGGTGACAGCAAAGCTTACAGGAGTGTGATAGGGTTGCTTCTCTACGTTGCGCGTGATCGGGTTGATGTGATGTTTCCAGTGAAGCAGCTATCATCACACATGTCAGCTCCTACAGTTTGTGCCTTGCAGAAGCTTCGAAAACTCATTGGTTACCTCAAGGCCAATGGTGACATGGGCATTAAACTGTGCATTCCAGAATTTGGAGCTGGAAAATGGAAAAAGGGTGGTGAGAAGTTTTGGAATGTTAAAACTTCACAGATGCAGACTGGTCGGCGCACAAAACCCACAGAAGGTCCACAAGCTGCGCTGTGCACTTCATCAACAACAACCTTGCCTATGCCTCAAGTCGAACTCAAAGAGTTGTTTCATTGAGTTCAGCTGAATCTGAGTTACACAGCATGGTGTCAGGATGCTCAGATGCCATCTTTCTACGTCGCTGCATGGAGTTTTTGACAGATGATGAAATCGAGCAGTGGCAGTGGGTGGACAATTCAGCTGCGAGGCAATTGATCGAGCGCCAAGGTGTTGGACGTGTGAGACATCTCAGTGGTAAGATCTTATGGATGCAGTCATTGGTGTTGGAAAAGCAAATCAAACTGGGACAGGTGCCAACGCAGTGGAATGTGAGTGATGTTGGCACAAAACCCTTAGCCAAACAACGTTTGTAGGTTCTTTTGCATCAAATCGGCTGCTGCAATCCAGATACCCATGAAATGGTTGGACAGGAGGAGTATGAAGCGTTTGAAGAGAGAACTGTGGGAAAACAAATGGTCAAGCGCATGGCCAAGACTATCATGCGTATGGCAGTGCTATGGGGTCTTGAGCCCAACCTTCAAGGAGCAGAGGCAACAACTGTTGACGAGGAGGTTTGCCAACAGGTTCAGGCTTCTGGAAACAATGAAGGAAATACATGGCTTTGGTTTTCAGTTTTTCTTCTCTTCATGCTTTGGGTTGGACTTGCGGTGGCAGGATATGTTGCATGGAAGAAATTTGCCAAGACGACAACAGACTTGGAATCATGTTGGAATCAAGTTGCAGATGAGGATTCCTACATAGCAAAGCAGGAGGCGAGAATTGACCAAGTGATTCAACGCCTTGAACAAATCAGAGAGCACAATGAACAGGATCATGCGATCATTTCAGATCGAATTACAGAATGCAGCAATGAGTTGAGCATGGTGCACGACTATGCATCGGGACTTCACTACAGCATTGTCGAACATGGAGGTTTCTTGCGAAATGGATGTGGTCTCAGTCCAGAGCAATGGCGCCACCTAGCAACGCTCGAAAGAGCAAATCTGGTTAGCTCAAGAGCTTTGGGTGCAGTTGAGTACATGCGGCTGGTGCGTCAAAGGTTCCAGCCACAAGGAGCAGCAGATGCAACAGACAACCCAAATGCTGAAGCTGATGATCCAATGGATGAATCAGAACCAGAGGTGCCATCAGGACCCATCAGCGATGAAAGTTTGACAGACATGCTTGAATTCCTCAAGAGTGAACATGGACTTTGCTTGGAAAGAGGTGAGCACTGGGATGCCAACGAGGTACAACATGTGATCCTTCACTTCCTCTCCGAGATCCACCACAGTTCAGCAGAAAGCTTGGTAGTTTCGTGCCGAGTACGCATAGCTGGATTGTTTGGAGAGCTGAAGGACAAAGCAGTTGAACAACATCGATGGGACAGTGCTGACAGATATCAAGCAATCGAACGCAGGTACATGCCAAATCCACCTGCGTGACTCAAAGAGGAAAATTTCAAAGAAATGACAATGGTGCCATTACAGAGACAAGTGCTGGAATGGACGCAAAACAATGAGTGGAATGCAGCATAGAGTCTAAGACTACAATGCTACAAGGAGGAGTGGAAAACATTTCTGTTTGCACCATTCCCTTTGTGACCACTTGCAGTGATGTCAAACCAATAGACTTCAGTTGGACCTCAGATGGACTGCGCAAGGATGACACTGCACAAATCGAGAAGAGACGTGTAGGTAGATTCAGTGGCGTTCACATGAATACCATGTGTATGTACCAGACCCTGTGGTTCAAAGAAAAGTGACGCTGCCTGCTTCGCAAATAGGTATATAGAGCGAGGAATTTGAAACAAAAAAAGACAAGATACAGCACTAAACTATTCCCGAAATTGTCACGGTTCATACTTGAAACCATGGGAAATGAAACATAAACCTAAGAAAAAACACATTCCAAAAAAATCGTGCAGTTTCGGAAGGGAATGAACTTCAAGAATTGGAAACAACATCAGTCCACAAAACCACTCTTGCGGTTCAAAGAATTGAGAGTCCCAGAAGAAAGGAACCCCCAGAAGAAACAAAATCAAATTGATGGAAACTTACGCTGTTGCAATCCCTGCCATAGATGTTCATGTAGCTGTCATGTACATACATGTTTGCATATGCAGTTTCATGTCCAGTTGTGCAGACAGTTGAGTTGAAAACTACTCCAATTCCGTTTTGCTTTCATAGCATGTACAGCAGTGATATCCGAGGCGTTTGCCAATCAAGGAAAACAATCATGGTAGCGGAGCCCGATGATCCAGGAGGCATTGCAACCTGGTGAGGGCTCAGAGAAAGGGACTTAGGTCTTTCGTTGCTGATAGCTGATGGCTTCACTGTCAGATCAGGATGTGGCGGCCTTGGTTCAAGCAGCGTCGGACGCTGCCAGAGCTGCTAGTGAGGCAGTGGTTGCCTTGCGCGACCAACAATTAAATAGAAGCTCAACTGCTGGAGGCTTTCAGGAAGCTAGCAAGGTTGTTAGACAACCTGAGCCATTTGGGTCAGAATGTCACGAAGACGATTTGGCAAAATGGCAGGACTTTAATGTGAGTTTCAAGGCTTGGCTATACTACGGCAACAAGCACTTTGAAACAGACCTCCACCGAGTTGAAGTGACCCATGCTGAGACTCCAATCACCAGCGTGGATGGTGAGCCGCAGGAAGTGAAAGACAGATGCAATCAGCTTTACAGCATACTGACTGGCCTTCTCAAGGGAAAGCCCCTCCGTCTCCTTCGACAAGTCAGCAACAGGAATGGGTTTGAAGTTTGGCGACAACTATGCCAGCTGTTCATGCCCAGGACTCGAAGCCGTGCAATTTCAATCTTAGCTGCCTTGATGGGTGTTCCGAGTTTCACTACAAAGGACAGAACCTTGCTGGACCAGGTGTTGGGCCTAGAACGCATGCGTGCAGAATATGTTCGCTCCAGTGGCACCGACATCCCAGACGACATCATGCTCTCAGTGCTTGTGCGTGCGCTGCCAAAGGCAATTCAACAGCATGTGCAATTGCAGCTGAGCGAGACATCGACCTATGACCAAGTGAGGGCGATGGTGGTGAGCTATGAGCGCACTACAACTTCATGGTCCCCAGGCAAGATTCACTCAGAGTTGGGCATTTTGCCCCAAAGTCAAAATCAGAGTTTCAATCAACCCTCCAACAATACTGGTTTGGCTCCAATGGAGATAGATCGATTTGAGAAGGGAAAGAATAAAGGAAAATCCAAAGGAAAAAGTAAGGGTAAAGAGACCACCAAGGGTAAAGGGAAGAACAAGAGCGACAAGGGAAAAGGTAAGTCCAACAACAAGGGCTCCACTCGCACTGCAACCAGCAATGACCAATGCTTGCACTGCGGGAAATACGGGCACTTCAAACGTGACTGTTGGAAGCTTCATGGCCGTGGTGACCAGAAGAATGTGAATCAGGTTGAATCCAATGCTTCGAACAATGCAGCCAGTGCCTCAAGCAATTCTTCGACTACCAGTGGTGCTACCAGCTCTTCTGGTGTGAATGGCTCTGTGCGTCTTTTCACTGGACTTCATGAATCACATGGACCCATCATTGAAGATTTGGATGAAGATATTGAAATCAGAGATCTAACTGGTTATGACTCTTTTGGTGCATGCAACATGTTTTCACAAGTTTCTACAGACTATTCAAACGAATGGTTTGGCTGGGACGACACCGCAGAAGCTGAGGGTGTTTATACAGCGTGTTGCAGCCGTTTTGACATGTCTTATTCTGACCATGACGATGTTTGGACATGTTTTGATGACAACGTTGAACAGTGTGAACACTTTTTTCATGCATGAGCCCAATGACGTTTGCACCATTGAGAATATCAGAGCGGTTGGATACTCAGATCATCACAATGTGGAGGTGGTGCTTGATTCTGGCGCTGATGGATCAGTGCTTCCACTTGCGTATGGTGATGTAGGCTATGCTGATGAGTCATTTGATGGTTCCAAGTTCATTGATGCACAAGGTAAGCCTATTCAGGTGAAAAGTGTCAGGATTGCTGAAGTGAAGTTTGGATCAGTTGTTTTTCGAGAACGTTTTATTATAGCTGCAGTTACATCACCCCTGATTTCCATGGGCAGACTGCTGAAAGATGGTTGGCTCCTGCAGACCAATAAGGACGGTAGCATGTATTTGGTGCGCAATTCCAAGCAGATCCCTGTGCACTTCAAGCGCAACTCCCTTTGTGCTGTTGGAGTCATTCGAATGCTATCTTCAGATGATCCATCTTCTTCCACTCATGCAGGAACCTGTGATGATGCTGAACACGTTCGAGCTCTTACGTTGGGTCGAGCGCTATCAGGTCTAGGTGCTGGTTGGGTCAAGCTTGGTGATTCTATTTATGCACTCAAAAGCAATGCAAATCAACATGTTGACAGTACTTTGTGCCCCAGTGACGGTTTGTTGTGGTTGCGTACAACACTCATACATTTGGATGATGATACATGGGAGCTCGATGAGTTTTGTCAGAATATCAGTGATCTGAGAACAATGACTGGTCCTTTTGAGGCCAACAGACCGGTGACTGAAGTGATCACTATTGCTCATACTGCGACTGTGCCACCAGAGGTTTTGGGATTCACTCTGCATGATGACAATGTTGTCATAGCCCCACGTAGTGGAATTCCTTTGCGTGTTTTGCCACCTGCCGCTAGGTCTGATATGGATGATGTACCAGCTGCAGATGAAGCTGAACAACCTGTGCCTGAACGAGGCGCTGAGGTGGACAACAACGAAGTGATCATTGATGGCTTGAGACTGGATTCCAACTCTCCTCTCAAAACTTTGGTTGCAGCATGTGAATCACTCGGTATTTCTGGACGTGGTGGAAAAGCAAAGTGCCTCAAACGTATTTGGGATCATTTGCAAACCCAGGAGTTGATTGCAGCTCATGGTGCTCAACAACAATTACGTGGCGACATTGCAAGGCCTGTGCACTCTCAATCTGTACCGGCTGAACCCACTGAGAAAGAGATTGCAGATCACAATTTGACCCATCAACCCTTTGCAGCTTGGTGTGAGTTATGTATTGCAAACAGGTCACAACAAGATGGACATCCAGCTCAAAGAGATGAATCAGCTGGTGCCCATACATGTGTCAGTTTTGATTTTGGTTTCGCATCACGAACGGAGCATGAACCTAAAGCTTGTGGTCTTTTCATTCACGATCGTCATTCAGGTGCTATGCATGTAGTTCCGACGCCGCAGAAGGGAGGACGACACTTGCAGTACCTTTGCACTGAGTTTTGTAGATTTTTGGTTTGGCTTGGGCAATCGACAATTGCTCTTCGATGCGACCAGGAGCCTTCAACACTTTCTTTGCTTGAAGCTGTTAAGAAGACATGCAGACCACTTGGAATCAGAATCATTGAAGAAACAGTTCCTCCAGGAAGTCATGCTTCGAATGGAGCTGCAGAAGTCACTGTGAAGGTGATCAGAAGGCATGCAAACCTTTTGATCCAACAAATCGAAAAGGGTTGTGGACTTGGTGAGGTGATAGGGTGTCATCACCCTTTGTATCAATGGGCTTTGCTGCACAGCTGCTGGTTACACAACAGATTTGTGGTACGCCAAGGCCACACGGCCTATGAGCTATGTGCCAATAGGCCATATACTGGACGTTTGGCACTCTTTGGTGAGCGTGTACTTGGATTTTTGAAGTTATCTACAAAAGGTTCCCCGACTTGGACAAAAGGCATATGGCTAGGAAAGACAGTTAGCAATGATGTTCATATTATTGCTGTTCCTGGAAGTCCTCAGTTGTTTGTCACGAGGAGCGTTAGACGTCTCCCGAAACCTTGGGATATGCAGATGGTTGGCGAGGTGGAGGCTTCACCATGGCAGTTTGGATATGCTTCACTTGGAGCACAACTCATTTTGTCAAAGAGAATTTCTGCGCCACCCATCTTGTCATTGCCACCTGCAAGGCCCCGAGACCTTGATGCTGAAGCTGTGATGGGCATTCCACCAACACCCGACGATGTTGGCAATGAGGCTCCGAAGTCTCCCAGAGTGGTTGGACCACCTGCTAGTGCTGCCCCAGCTTTGACAGGACAAGCTCTTGATGAGCATATGGAAGTATCAGCTGAGGCGGGGACTTTGCCAAAACAGATTGGACTCAGTGTGCCAAGTACGCCACCATTGGAAGCCACTCCAACAACTCCAATTGATGTGCCAGCTACTTCAAGTGCCTCAGGTAGTGGCGATGCGGCTATGCCTAGTGTTGCTCCACGAGCAGCCCATGGACGTGATGATGAAAATGTTGAAAGGCCTGCCAAGCATCCCCGTATTTTTGCACTCATGGAACATGAAGATGATTCCCATGCAACATATTTCGAAAATGATGAGGTTGAGAGCCTCGAAGCCTATGAGTACACCCTGTGCGATGATGACCCAGGAGATGCACATGTGTATGGCGACACAGATTCAACCAGTGACATTTTGCAGAAACTTTCAATCCCTTACACAAAGTTAGAACCAGAACTTTCTGATGAAGATCTTTTGCAACTTGACCTTTTAGCCGATGAGCTTGAGATTTCTAGGTTGAAGTCGATGGGAGTCTTGATCCCTGCTGACACCTACGCCTATGGCGATGAGATTCCAAAGAGGTTGACAACCAGAATGGTGCGCACATGGCGTGACAAGTTTATCAACGGTGTTCATGTTTGGTTGCGACGTTCCAGGTACGTGGCCAGAGAATTTGCTTGGCTGTCACCTGAACGACAAGATCTATTCAGCCCGGCATCATCAGTGCTGACAGTAAGGCTTTTACCGACCTTATTTATGAAGTGGAAATCATTGGGATACGTTCTTTGTGCCATTGACATTGCAGACGCATTTCTGATGGTACCTCAGAAAGAACCAACACAAGTAACATGTGAACTTGCCACAGGTGAGAAGATGGACTTCATGCTTGGAAAAGTCCTACCTGGCCAACGAAATGGCTCGCAGATGTGGCACGAGGCATTCAGTGGTTTTCTGAGCAGTGAACTTCAAATCAATGATTTTCCAGCATACCCAAGTTTGCTTAGGTCTCCAAATGGTGAATGTTTGATGCTGCTGCACGTTGATGTTTTGTGTTTGAGTACCCAAAAGTACCTCGACGATGTACTGCTTCCAGCTTTGAACTCCAAGTACAAGATTTCATGTGAGATCGTGTCCAAGGAAAATGATGAGCTTACGTTTTTGAAGAGAAAGCATACTTTGATCTCTGAGGACGAGATGGCAATTCAGAGTCATCCCAAACATCTTGAGCGTCTTTTCGATCTACTTTGTATCAATCGACGCTTGAAACCAAAGAAGACACCAGGACACCCGATGCTGGATGAGCCTGACACGACTACCAAGCTGAGTGCTGGAGATGCAAGTGCATACAGGTCATGCATTGGTATCTTGTTATATATATCAAGTGACTACGTGGAATGTCAATATACCATCAGAGGTCTTTCACAAAGTATGTCTTCACCTTCTGTTCAGGCAATGGCTTGCTTGAGACACCTGGCTCAGTATCTTTTGGGATGCACTGAGCATGCGATGGTTTTGAAGTATGAGGCCCACAAAGGACTGCTTCATTACAATCCATGTGACTATACTCTTGAGATTTACAGTGATTCAGATTGGGCGAAACACAAACAAACACGTCGATCAGTATCTTCAGGATATTTATTTCTGTTTGGATGTCTCCTCTACTCCACTTCACGTTCTCAGAAAGCATTGGCTCTTTCATCAGCAGAGGCAGAAATATACTCAGCTGCGTCAGCAACCAGTGACGCAATCTTGATGTACCATTGTCTCAGGTTCGCCATTGGGGACAAGGACGATATCAAGGTTCATCTGGCGATGGACAACTCTGCTGCGAGGGCCTTCCTATGCCGTGTTGGAGTAGGCAGGATAAGACACATCAGCCTTAGGATCCTGTGGATGCAAGAGAAAACCAAAGAAGGTTTCATGACTGTTGGAAAAGTTGGTACAAAAGAAAATGTATCTGATTTGGGTACAAAGAGATTGACCCGAGACCGTATGGAATATTTGATGAACCTCTGCAAAGTATACAACATGGCCAATAGCCAATTTGTTGGCTCCAGTTTTGCAGAAAAGTTGGAAGAACAGCAAATATTACGTGTTGGTATCAAGAACCTCAGACAAATGGGTTTTAATGGGACAACCTCCAAAAGTTTGATGCGAGTGCTACTCATCAACGCCTTGAGCAGCACGATGGCTATGGAATTGCCTGCTGACCCTTCTCCTTCCAGCTCTTCGAGCACTTCAGGGCCCTTTGGCATGGTGATGGCGTTCCTCCTAACCATCATTTGCTTGTTTTGTGGCTTTCTGGTGGTGACAGCTCATTTTGGTGCTGCACTTCAAGGACGTCTTCAGACCTTGCGCATGGATGTTGCCCTGAGAAAGGTTCTTTCGATGCTGAAGGCATATCGAAGGGAGCATGGCTTGGATGAGATAGCTGAAGAAGAAATTCCAACTACAGACGAGGTGGATGCATCAGAAGTTGAGGATAGGAATGAAACCTATCAACAAAAGGTTGAAAGGTATCAAAACTCTGGAACGGATGAAGTTTCAGACGATGAGCTATGGCGCATGGTTCACCATGGAGCTCCTGATGAGGAGGACACTGCAGCCTTCAATCGAAGGTACACTGATACGCACTTGGAGAATATCATGAGGGAAACCAATAGGATCCTGGCTACCCGTATGCAAAGGCTGAGAGCTGAATATGAAGCAGCAGCCGTGCGCAACGACCAGCTGTCTATGGATGCCATTGAGAATGAGATGACCGAGTGCACTCATTTTGCGCTATGCAATTTAGCAGTGCTTGGACCTCGAGCCCTATATGGTGACCTTTGCACCTGTGCTTGGACTTTTTGAGCTACTGAATGGAGTGAGAGATCCGTAGCCCTATTGCCATGAGACATTAGACGAATGTCTGACGGATTTCTTTTGGTTTTGCAATTTTGGCCAAACGGTCAAATTGAGGCGGGGTGATGGAAACTTACGCTGTTGCAATCCCTGCCATAGATGTTCATGTAGCTGTCATGTACATACATGTTTGCATATGCAGTTTCATGTCCAGTTGTGCAGACAGTTGAGTTGAAAACTACTCCAATTCCGTTTTGCTTTCATAGCATGTACAGCAGTGATATCCGAGGCGTTTGCCAATCAAGGAAAACAATCACAAATAAATACAAGATCATCTGTAAAAAACAGTCCAAAAAATAACCTAGAGTTCGGAAGCAAAAGTAGTCTTGGAATTGCACCCAACATTTATTTCATCAAAACATTGCAGTTCAAAAAACATAATGTTCCGGAAAAAAAACGCGATCTCATACATGTTCAGGCCAAACATTCTGCCAAAAAAAAAGGTTCCAACAAAAAGGAAATTTCATTTTTTCGGGCCAAACATTGCGCCGAAAAAAAGTACAGGTTCCAAAAAAAATATTAGTTCCAAAAGAAAACAACTCATACTTTTTCGGGCCAAACATTGTGCCAAAAAAATATGAGTGCCAAAAAAAAATATGAATTCCAAAAGAAAAAGGAACTCATACTTTTTCGGGGTATGAGTTCCAAAAAAAAAGGAACTCATAGTTTTTCGGGCCCAAGAGTGTGCCAAGAAAGTATGGGTTTCAAAAAAAAAGGAATTCATACTTTTTCGGGCCAAATATTGTGCCAGAAAGAAAATATGGGTTTCAAAACAAATTGAGTTCCCCCAAAAAAGGAATTCATATTTTTTGGGGCCAAACATAGTGCCAAAAAAATTTTATGAATTCCAACGAAAAAGGAACTCATATTTTTTTCGGGCCGAACATTGTGCCGAAAAAAGTATGGATTCCAAAAAAAAAAAGGAACTCATATTTTTTTTGGGCCGAACATTGTGCCGAAAAAAAATGGGTTCCAAAAAAAATATGAGTTCCAAAAAAAAAAGGAACTCATACTTTTGGGTACCTTTTTGCCGGTACTTTTTTTTGTTTGAACTGAAAATCAGTTCAAACAAAAAAGAAAGTACGTGGAAAAACAAATTTTGCCGGTACTTTTGTTTTTGTTTGAACTGATTTTCAGATCAAACAGAAAAAAAATACCGGCAAAAAAATACCTTCAAAAGTATGAGTTCCTTTTTTTGGCGCAATGTTTGGCCCGAAAAAGTATGAGTTCCTTTTTTTTTTCGGAACGCATTCTTTTTTGGGCAGTCATATTTTTTTCCGGCACAATGTTTGGCTCGAAAAAACTAAATTTGAGTTTGAGTTCTTTTTTTTTGAACAAACATTTTTTTTTGGAACCCATTTTTTTGGCACAATTCTCGGCACGAAAAAAATATGAGTTCCTTTTTTTTTGGAATCCACATTTTTTTTGGCACAATGTTCGGCCCGAAAAAACATATGAATTCGTTTTTTTTTGGAACTCATATTTTTTTGGAACTCATACTTTCTTTGGCACTATGTTTGGCCCCAAAAAATATGATTTTTTTTTTGGGGGAACTCAATTTGTTTTGGAACCCATACTTTCTTGGCACACCCTTGGGCCCGAACAAGTCTGAGTTCCTTTTTTTTTTTGGAATTCATATTTTTTTGTTGGAACCCATATGAACAAAATGTTTGGATTTTTCAGAGATGCCTTTTTCCGGAACTCTTGAATCTAAATTCCTTTGTTGTTGAATTGTGTTTGTTTTTGCGGATAAATTGTTTCATTTTATAAGTTTCCTTTCTTTTGGGGACTTTAGATTTTCGTGGACCTGCGTTGTTTCTCTTTGTGTTTTTTTGTTTTTCTGGAACGGATTTTCTCAAGGATTAGTGTTGTCGATTCTTGGTTATTGTTTTGTGTTTTTGAGGAAACCTCAGATGTTTTACATCCAAAACCTGCGTTTTTCTTCGGTACTTTCTTTTCTTTCTTTCTTCAGAATTTTTCTAAAAGTGACTTTCTGGAACGGCCAGATCTTGTTTGCAACTACAATAAATGCTCAATATTAGGTGTGTTTTACTTCTTAGAGCTCCGCACATAAGAAAAAAAATCAGCATTTTGAGCCGCATATTTTTCCTGTTTTTGTTTTGGGGCATTTGTTTTTTCTGGAGCTTTGAGATTTGTTCGGATTTCGCATTGGTTATTTTTCCTTTGAAGTCTTTGTTTTCTTAGGAAGAACTTAAACATGTTCTTTTGGAACTGTTTTTTAAATTGAATTTTCATTGTTGAAGGTTTTGTTTTTTCGGTTTCGTTTGCTGGGCGAATTCTATCTTCTGGACATGTTTAAAACTCTTAGTTGAATCCCGCAAGGCATGTGTTGAGTGCCATAACTTACCGAGAGTTCATTTGTCTTGAGGGTATTGTTCCATCCTCACTGGATGCAATGGAACTAGCAAGCGGGATCTGTGGTCATTTCAAGAAATGGTGTGTTGATGAGGTCTGAGACTCAAGCTCATCCATACCAGGGTTGGACGACCATTGTTGTTTTGCAAGCAGTTTCCTGTAAAGGACCTGTTGTTCAGTCCATTTTCAGCCTTACAATTCGTTTGGAGGAATCCTATATTTTTCCTTCAAGTTCAAAATTTGGAACCCCATTTTCTTGATTACATTGCCTTCAGGGCCTTTGATTAACTTTATGTTCTTTGATTTAGTTCTATCAAGAATCCAAGGGGTTCTATTTCATGAGTTTCTTGTCTAGTCAGAACTCCAGTTTTTGCATTCTCGGGGTTCCGATGCGTCTCATATTTGTTGAGCTTTTGTTGATGCTTTACATTCGAGTCCCAGTTTTACGCTTTTGCTCGATGTGCTGTAGATCGAAACCAGATACATAAAATATGAATAATACCTCAGCTCAGCTGGTGTAAATGCAGATCCGTTTCCTTTTGTAATTGTACGTTTCTTGCGCCCGGTGCAAACAGTTTCGATGAGCAAAACTCGGCCAAACGCCACCACCTGAGTCCTGGATCTCCTGTTTCTTGGCCACCATCACCACCACCACCCTAAAATAAATTCCCTTGCCCCTGTGACAGTCTGAATTGTACTTGTTTTCAGCTGTTTTCCGTTTCATGTTTTGCCCGCATCTACATTGCCGAAATCTTGGATTGCCACACGTGATTGGCGTGAGTAGAGCCGTAATCTATATGAGCCTGGTTGGGCCAACTATTATTATATATAGAGAATTAGAGACTTGTCCAGCGAAATTGGTTATTTGGATACAGTCACTTCACTATGGATTCGCTTGATGCAGTTTTGAAACTGTGATGCACATCTCAGAGACAATCCGCCCTTTACAAGTACCTCAAAAAGTATGGGCGCCTTTTCAGAATGAACTTTCACCAAACAAGCAGGACTTGTGAAATTTGGCGTGCATCACCTTGAACTTTGGGGCCCGTGCAAGTGTGTGGTATTGGGGACGTCTTGCAGGCATCATGGTTCGTTGCTGCCATGCACTCCTTGCTCACGGGCACGCACTGTGGTAGTATGTGGACGATCTCTTGGCCTGGTGGGACAAATCATCATCTCCGCTTTGGGCTTCATTAGTTGTGGTACTTCTTCTCATTCTTGCCTGGGAATTGCTTGCGCAATTTGCGTTGTCCTTTTGCATCGACGCCTTACTGCCCAGAACCCGCGGACCAATCATCTGCCATCAGGCCACGGACAACAGCGCTGCGGATGCAGCATCTGCTAAGGGCCTTACGATGACTCGTGCACTTGCTGCGGTGCTTGCACCCTATTTCACCTTTCTGAGGAGATTTCAGGTTTTTCCCCCTTATTACTCACATCCCTGGGCGCCTCAACATGTTGGCTGATGAATTGAGTCGCTTCACAGTGCCATTGTCTACAACACTGGATCCAACTGCGCAACTGACGATCCCATGGCAAGACCTACTGTGCTCTTCAGGCATTCAAGTGGCCGTCGCACTTTGACATTCGACTGCGAGAAAAAAGGTTGCTGCAGTCCGCTGACTGGGTGCCTCCATCGATTAGTCTTTGGGGAGTTCTTACTCCGGCGGGTCGATTGTCGATAAGGTTTGGTTCTCTGGGAACTCCCCACCTAAAAGTATCGATCCTAACATACCCCGGCATTTGGGTTGTCTGATCGGTTTGGTTGGGGGCACTTGTTTTTAGGTCTTACTGTACAAGCTGGACCCGCTGGTTCGTTGTAGTGTGTACAGGGCTGACCTAAACATTGCACCACGCCTTTAATGCACTCTTGCGGCAGCCTTTTTCGTGTTGGATGTCAACTGTAGTGTTAATAGATTTGGGGAAACTGAAGCAACGGAAGCCATTGCGTGAACGAGACAGAAGCAGATGGTAGAGCCAATACAACCCGTGGAGTGCATGGAACTCATGTAGAAGAAGATGGCGATAAGATGGAAGTGGATGAAACTCCTGCTGAAAGGAAGGCACGATATATGTCCTCCAGCCAGGAGGAAGTATCAGACCCAGAAGAATGGGCAGAGACTCACTGTGGAAACCTTGATGTGAACAACTACGGGCGTATGGTGGCATTCTCCAGAGCCAATCAGCTTCGACTACGGAGTGCGCTGGAATCTTTGAGGATGAGGCGCAATATAGCAGAAGTGGATGGCAACTGGGAGGAGGCTAGCAACTTCCCGTGCGATGGCCGAAATCGAAGCTCTCATTGACATTGCCTAGCTGCTGTGGTGATGTTGGGCAAAGTGGTGCGCAATGAATGCATGAGACAAATCAGAGCACCAAATACTCCAGCTGATCGAAGTGGACATGCTGAGAGTGGCTGAGGTTCAACCAAGCCGGAACCCGGAACCTTAATTAAGGCACAGATGGCTCTGTAATGAACCAAAATTGAATTTATGTGGTGCTACACCACGAAGCTGGCATAGCACCAAGGTGGGGTGTGAAACTTGAGTTACTCCACTCATGCACATGTACGG